AAACTCTTACTAATTAATTATTTTGCTATGCACTGAGTAAATTTTTTAAGTTGAAAAAGACTAGAGACTCATTGTCAGGGCTGATTTTAAAGTAGCTGTTTTTGCAGGTCAGACCACATCCAACATACACACATTGTGCGATATCAAACAGTTGGCTGCTGAACCAGTTAGAGTTAAGAGTTTAGTGGTTTTATTCTTGCATGTGGGAGTTCTTTGGGGTTTGGTCCGACAGACACAAGCTGCACTTTGAGGAAGTCTCTTTCTGGGATTGTGATTTGTTTTCCTCTGCTTTCATTTTCTTTCTTTTGATTTAGAAAACAATTAGCTGACCAATTACAGATTTACAATGGAGTTAATTGCAGCCTGCGTGTGATAAAACAAGGTACAATATAAAACACCACAAGTTACACAAAACAATGAAAGACAATTACTCTGTTGGTTTTCTGAATGTTGTATTTATTGTGCAGCTTTTTGACTGGACTTCATTATCATTAACACATTTTTCATGTTTTTTTGGTACACTGTGGTGTAATAATGGTTGGAGAAGAAAAAGCGTATAGCTGATTAATTGGTCAAAAGGGATCTCTGATAGTTTGTAAAACATCCTACTGGGGCTCTCTAATTTACTGTATACTCCTTGTATATAAATATGATGTATGACTGCTTGTTCCCAGTAACAGCAGTATGCTACGGTTTGTCTCCACACACACACACACACATGCACAGAGGATTTGAATGCAGGGGGAACCACTTGCAGTCTATGAAGAGATGTGAGCTGACATGGCTCTTGTGGCAGGCTAACCACGATGGGAAATGGGATCCCAAAAGCGGCAGGCATACTCCAAAACCCAGCCCCGCCGAGCTTTTGGCTGCTGAAAGCTGACCCATTGCGACCTCCCTCAAGGCATCCTTTGAAAAAGTATGACATCATTTTGGGGAGCTTTTGCACAGAGTAACAGAAAAAAAGGTATTTGCCTGTGAAACTTCACAATTTCTGAGCTCTGCCACTGCAACCTCCTCCCCCTGTACAGACCTCGCAGCATTTAATGAACAAAAAGATGTAAAATTCATGTGCCCTCATTCATTATTGAATAATATTACGGAACAAAAAGCAGCATAAGCTAAATGCGTTGGAGAAGTCAGACAAGCTGATAACTGGGTCACTACCTAAAACCTATAATTTTTCACCTTCTGACATGCTGATGACCATATTTGTCAGATATGGTTTGTAAACGCTCCTGCTCATAAGGCCAGTGTCAACTTGATTGGATTTATGGTTAACATGTAGCACTATGTTACATCTCACAGATTTTTAAAGTTAAACCTGAACTTAAACCGTATTTATTAATGAAATCTCATTGATTAATTGAATGAAAATCATTCACTTAAAAACATTGTGGACACACAGAGCAATACTTCAGTAAAAGTGCTATTAGAAACCGAGGCTTTTAAAGGGATGAGTATCTGGGTCTGAGTTGTTGCTCATTTCAGTAAATGTCAGATGCCATTGTGAAAAAGGTTCAACAAGAATGGATTGAAAGCTGTTCTAAAATTATTTCTAAAGCACAGGGCTGCCCTGCACAGCTATACTGGTCAAATCCCCTTGAAGAAACATGGTTGCCGCACCCATGTTCTCATTTTTTAAGCTTAAAAACATCAGGAATTATTTTTGCTTGTGTGTACAGTTTTGTTTGTACGATTAAAACAATCAAACAAATATCTCATAGGTTG